ATTGGTTCCTATAGGGTGCCTGTGGGGGGATCCTTATAGGTTGTTGGGGTTGGGGGAGAACTCAGCTCAGTCCCTATAGGGTGCCAGGGGGAAGGTCTGCATCCCTATAGGGTGTTGGGGGGTGTTCGGTGGATGCATCGGTTCCTATAGGGTGCTGGGGGGGGGTCCTTATAGATTGTTGGGGTGGGGGGAGAGCGCATCTCAGACCCTATAGGGTGCCCGGGGGGAGGTGTGGGTCGGGGAAGCCCAGATGTTTGGGTCCTTATAGGATGCTGGAGGAGGGGGGAAATCATCAGTGCCTATAATACACTCTTAAATCCCATATTAATAATTGCTAAAACCAGTATTTTCGCCACCAGACGAGAGCAAAGGGATATTTTCAGGGATGCCCCTAAATCAGGTTAATTCACCCCAATACCAGCAACACTTGGGGGGGAGGTGAGGGCATGTGGGGGCTCAAAACCCACCCCTGCGGCGTTTAATTAATTTAAATCGCCACTTCATGATCATAATTAAGCCTTAACGGCGCTATAGGCCAGCGGGTGGCTTGCCTGGCTTTGCTTTTTTATCATTTCTAAACCTTTTTTTTTTGTTGTTGTTGTTAAGAAAATCCAAGTGGGTTTTGAGCTGCCCTGGGTCACAGCAAACCCCCAAGGCAGCCCGTTTTGCCTCAAAATTAGTGGTTTTTTTTGTGAAAAGGGGCACATTTTTTGCCCTGGCCTCACTCGCCCCTCAGCCAGCAGCCGGGTTTTCCAGCGTAAAGGATTACATTTTGTGAAAAAAGAAGTTGGAGGAGCTTCCTGTGGACCTTTTTTTTTTTTTTTCCTTTTTTCCCTTCAAAAATCATTTTTTTCAGGGGTGGCGGTCACTGAACTGGGAGTTTTCTGGCAGGAAGGTGGGAGAGGGGTTTATTTTGGGGTGGTTTTCACAGCATCGGCCTCTCCACCACGTCGGCCTCTCCACCCTGTCACAGATCATCTCGAGAAACCTAAATTTGGGGGAAAATAACCCAAAAAACCTCCCTGCACCCATGCAGTCGCCCTTCCCCAGATTTACAGTCCCTATTGGGAGCGTCCCTCTTGCTGCGGGAGGACAGAGGATACAATGCCGCTATTTCTCTCCTTTTCTTTAAATTTCCCTCACTGTCTCTGGTGAAATTTGTCCGGGAGAGGATATATTTGCGGGAGACGTTACTATGGGGTTACGGAGGGCAGAAATTGGGGTGAAAACCCGTTGATTCAGGGCCTGCGGGTGGGGATTGCCTCAGAGGAGAGGCGCCCGCTTCCAAAATGGCGACCGGTGCCCGCTTCCAAAATGGCGGCCTCGCCCTCAGGCAGGGGAGAGAGAGGGAATATGGCTGCGGCTTCCTCCTCTCCTGTGAGGGCGGTGGGGGCAAGCGGGGCGAGATGGCCGCGGCCTTCCCCTTGCTGCCAGGAAGGGCTCTGCTCAAGATGGCTCCCGGGGGCCGAAGCCCCGGGATCCCTCTTGGGGGAGGGC